TGTCAAAGAATAAGTAATTAGAAAATTATTGTACATTATACATTTTAGTACCTAAAATAATTAGAAAATTTGTTTTAATAAGTTTTCAAATTATTTTAATTGCTGGATCAAATTATTATTAGTTAGTTTTAATTTTAATTACTTAAACATATAACCGAACTTCTTGATGCCTATCCACCTTGTAGATATGTAGACTTGACGGGTCGCCGACTCCTTTGAGACCATCCTTAGATAATGCTTTTGGTTCGCCACATGTCAAAGAGAACGTAGTGGGCAAACAATTGAAGCTCTGAAGAGTGCGGAGGAATGTGCCAGGCTAAGTTAAGTGTCTCCTTTGGCCTCCTTTTCGTTTTGGCTCATGTGCTCTCCAGTGGGTGTGACAAGTAGTTGGCTTCATTTCAAAAAGCCATTCGCCCAAATGGCCCAAGCACCGCACAAAGTTGAGGAATTTTAAGTGGAGCAAGTCAAGTGTTCCTCCGCAAAAATGTTTCGACATCAATTTGATATTAAACAAGTCAAAGCCAATGAGGACAAACGGGAAATGTTCAAATTGCAATCGTAAATATATATAGAACACATGGTCAAACTCGCCATTTGAGCACTTCAATTGTTTTATGCACCAGCATATCGGTTGTCAGTTATCTATTTCAAATAAATCCAATTTAAAAACACTACAAAATTCCCCTGAGCTCAGATAGCAAGTAAGTGCACTATAATCGCATTTCATATGCATACATAAAGTTATTTGTTTACCGACGAGTGCACAATATCCATTCTAAGCCAATATTGCGCCGTTCAGCAATATTATTTCAATTCTCAAATACTCAACAGTGGGTAATGCAATTTCTCGATGACTCTCGGTAACGCATCCTCTGGCATTTTGAGTTTATTTATTGTGTTTGAAAACTTTTTAACACAATCCCCATTGTACATAAGTTGACTTCACCCTTCGGAGAGTTTGAAAAGTGCTTCCTATTGATGGCTGCCATTTTACTACCGAAATATGGGCATGAGTTCCTATCCCAGTGCTTTCATCCCAACAAAAGAAGGGAAACTCTTTTATCTAGAGAACTCTGATCTGCCAGATAATCGCTGGTAATAATTCATAACCATAAAATATCAATTTTTCGTCTACAGTTTTTGGTTTCCCGCGCATAAATTTAAATCTTTAACGTGGCTGCCGGAAACGAGGGGGAGCCGTAGGACTTTGGCAGAAGTGACATCACCACCCAGAAGCAGTAGAAGCGGCATCATGGCAGACAGGCAGACAAGTGTATCGAGGACAAGTGACAGTTATAACAGCAGCAGCAGCCGTTACATCGCCAGAAACAACCAGCTCTTCAGTACTTTTACCTCATCGGGAGGTCTGTGCTCTATACTCTATATGTGTGTCGAGAGGAAGGAACAGCTGCAGGGAAACACATATGCCTGACAATAAAAATGTACGCCTGATTGAAGTTTGGAAGATTGTGATTTTTCACTCGCTGTGGCATCCCCTGCGAAACAAAAAACGGGTGGTTATTTTGCACTGAATTATTCATAAAGCTAAATCATCTTAAAGTGTTGCTCGACCTACTGGAAAAAGTACTGGTTGGTACTCATCGCTGATTCTTAAAGAATCCTTTGATTAAAGTTTGAATTTATTACAATAAAAACAAAGCCTGATAAAATTCCCTGGAAAGTTATAGTATTTTATAAAATATGCAACGAGATAAACGATATTTAATCATTATCGGAAAACACGGAAGCAGCAGCTGAAAAGGAGGTGTCGAAGTACGCAAGCCGTGACAGTTACAAAACATTTTACAAGCAATTCAACAGAAACAACAACCCAGAGACAAGAGCAGAAAGTGCTAGTAACAATGGGGGGTTGTGGGGTTGGGTTTGGTTATATAGAGGAGGAAACCCCATCACCAACCAACCAACCAGAGTCAACGATAAAGTTGTCATAGTGTAAAGCGAACAATTCATCAGCGTCAATGTGATAAATTGTACTTCCACCGCACCGAAATTGCTTGAAATTTTTATTCCAAGCGCAGGCAGAGAGCATTGAAGGAGGAGAGATGGTGAATATCGCAAAGTAGAACAAGATAAATTAGCCGTTTCAATTGAAATGTAAACAATACAATGCTAGCATTAAGCATACGCCATGTTGTTGATAAATAACTTAAAACTAAAAGTGCGTCAGTAAACTTGGAAAGTAAAATATGTTTAATTAGCAATTTAAATATTTAATACTTCTTTTGACAAGCCTTTACTCATAGAACTTTTTATTAAATTTATTAAAAGTGAACGTCTCTATCAAAACACATTTATTGTTAAATTTTTAAAGTTTTTATGGGCTTAAGAAAATTTGCAACATTCTCTATGAATGAAAACCGCAGAAAATAATCACGACGATGACCGCAAAAACCAAAATGAAGGCAAAAGTGGTAAGCACTAAAATCACTGACATATTGGTTTTAGGTGGCAAAATATCAGAAAACCAAAGGCATTTGATTTTGTAGCCTTGGCCTTTTATACATTTAATTCTTAAATTAACGTATAATGATAAAATGTCCAAGGTTTTCCATGTTCTTCTGCTTTGGACTTAAAAAATACTTCGTTAAAAATGGATGTCATACCTTAGTATCCGGAAATTTAATTAAAATTTAAATATTTTTCATGCTTTTAATTAATTAATATTTCCCACAGCACATTTTGAATAATTTATGCTATGGCCGGGTATGGGACCTATTCAACAGAAACCTTTGAATAAGTTAGATAATTAAGCTTCAGCTTGAAGGACAGACAGACTATGAGTGGCAGACACACACTCCGCCTGTAAGCTGGGGGCCATGTCTGAAGTCGCGTTTTGTGGCGCGGCCAACTAACTAACTAAATGGTTGGATGAGTAGACAACAGACACTAGCAGGCTGATTGACTGACTGCATGGCTAACTGACTGACTGCCTGGCACTGACGACCACACACAGCCATCCTGTCCCAAGAACCTTGCGGTGGAACTCGGAGGATTGGTCTGCCACCTTTTAGAAGAAACCACAACGCGCCTACTCTGACTTTGAGTGACAGCTGTTGACTGCCGGAGCGCTGACGACCGCATGCTGTTGTTAACGACTCGTTTTGACATATTGAATTAAAATGCAAAAGACCCTGGCAAGGCTAAGGAAATTACAGTCACTCAAAATAGTGGGATTCGTCTGCAAATATAAATCGAATTTCCAGTGAATCGTTGCTTATCATATTTGCTGCTCCTTTTCAGGTTGTAAATTTGTGTACGATTATTTCCAAAGGGCTGACAAGATCATAAGCCTGCATAGAATTTAAATGCAAATGGAAAAATTATTTCCCAGGCAATGGAAAAAACGCAAATGATGCTATTAAAATGCAAACGATTTTTTTTCTATTTCTCTAAGAATTTACACCAGACAGGCAAAGGAACAGAGAGGAAAATAAATTTTCTGCACAAGTTATGAGAATCAATTTTGTCCTTATTTTTAACAAGCTAACAACTTATTACCATAAATCATAAGTATATAAACACTTGATTTTTCATTTAATGAAATATCAAACGGCCATTAAAATTGTTCTTTAAAGAGCTTTCACGAAATGTATTAACTATACTGCAAATGAAGTGGCCCGCAGGCAGATGCAAGATAATTGGCTTTGCCGTCCAGTTTGCGGATTCCTCTTGCTTATTCTACACTTTAAATTCTAATTAAAAGCAGGAAAGTAAAATATTTTGTTTTAATTATAAACCTGCACGAATTTTTCCTCATTTCATGGCTTCACCTATACACAGGTTAGGCAGCAATACCACTTCGGCACCACATTTAATGGTCATTGAAGGTAATAAAACTACCCGACTAATACACCTAGCCAGCCATGGAAGTACTTTTTATTTAGTTTTCAAATTAATTGAATTGAGGTTGGCAAAAAAAACATGGTTTAAAAGTGCAGAACAAAAAGCAATCCGAAAATTAGTTTCGCTGGCAATGTTCATACCATTTAAATCCAGCAATAAAAGAAATTAATGTAGTTGAACTAAATGTAATTATATTTAATTGAGCTTGAATTTATAAATAAGCTTTTCCAAAGAAAATTTAAAAAATTGTCTGATTTTTGGTCTAGTCTGTTACCGACAAAATATAAATATTAAACTTAGAAAAATTATTAGTTAGTTTAACATAAAATATTTAAATAAAACGTGATATATTTCTACATAAAACTGGCTGTAATGCATGGATTTAAACCATGCTTGCATAACCGTGGAACTATATGCTAGTCTTGGCATACTCCTTATAATCGCTAACTACCAAAAGGAAAATATTTTTGCATATTATGAGCCTAGTCCCTTGCGGTTTTGGTTAAATGGCAACAATAAACTCAAGCCAAAAACACATAAAAGATACTTAAGTTCCCAGGACAATTTATTCATTCGTTTTCATGGGCAAATAAGTGAGTGGATTTCGTTTTGATGTTGGGTAAACGTAGTCGAATCCCAAAACTCGGATGGCAATAAAAATGAAACTATGCGTTAATTGCAATTCCCAATTGACCACAAAACGAGAACGAGCCACGGAATTTGCAACATAAACTGGGGACTGTGGCCTTTGACAAACGATCGTGGGCGTGTGGCAATGTGTGGTTCGTGGCATAAAGTAGCTAATTACCGTTAGTTATGTTGCCACCCACAAAATTCCGCAATTAATGTGTCTCCCTTTTTGCGGAAAAAGAGAGTGGTGTGTGCGTGTGTCGTGTGGTTAAAGCGCACAAAAATATTCGTCCTGTGGAAACGAAAATTTTGCAGAGAGCGTAGAAAAGTATGCTACATTTCTTTACTGTACCCAGAAAATGTAATTTTAATCTAAAAGGACTCGAAACTATAAAAGGCTTCTTCCGATATCTCGTCTGGCAAGCCAGCCTCAATAAGTCAAAATAAATAAACAAATGATATACTAAATATTTTCAAAATCAAAAAAATACACTAAACACGGTCGATGCAGCGGCTGTGGAATGCAAAGGCATTTGGGATCGAGACGTAACTTGACGTTTTGTCAAAAGTATCGGTTGCTACTATGGAAGGACATAAAACTACAGCTCGGAAATCGCGTAGAATTGGCTCTGATCATTTTACTTAGTGCCCTAATGCCCTTGTTGATTGCCATTGGCACAAGGATTGCGAAGTCAATGTTTCCAGGCGATATAGTAATGGAAAAAGCCTCCGGTCCGAAAAGTGTCAACATGAGTTAGTAAGTAAATAATTTTTATCAGCAATCTTAAGTTTAGTTCGACTTTAAATAGTTTTTATTATGTTTTAGTTTTGAGGATATCTATTTTACACCTCTCAATGGGATAGTTGATACAATTATTTCTGATCTTGCACGGGCCATCAACTGCAAAAGTACCGAAGGTTTTACCACTCTGCGTGAAATGCAAGTGCATATGTTTCAAAACAAAAAAGCAGTGGGAGTTGCGTTCCCCAATGACTGGTATACTATAATTAACTATCCGGACAGCCTAAATTTTACAATATACACACCGGCATATATCAAAAGAAGAAATTTTAAATATTTCGAATCAGGCTTTCTATTGATCCAAGAACAGGTGTCACGGATATTCATTGACTCTAAGAGTAGAACCAATTTAACAAAGGTCCAGATGAATCATTTTCCCTACCCCAGATATGTGCCAAATCATTATGCGGAGTCAGCAAAAATCATGACCTACTTGATGTTGGTATCTTTTTTCTTTCCCTGTATTACAATAGCCAAGGTACGATTAGCTTTCTTAGTAGAGCTTGAAAAATATCGATAATTATCGAAAAGTTTCAAACGCTTGATAAATATATATATATTTATATCGAAAAGTATCGAAATGTCGATTTTTTCAAGTTCTATTACTGAGAACTCAAGTTCTTAATTTTTCTGTTTTTTATTTTTGATAACTTTCCAAAGAACATCGTTGCCGAAAAGGAGCGTCAGCAAAAGGCTATTTTGAATACAATGGGATTTAAGAACAGTATTCATTGGTTGGCCTGGTATACGAAATCGATGGTACTTCTAGTGCTATGCCTGTTAATTATGATACTTATGTTTGCCATTGGAGCGGTTTATAAATTCAGCAACCTTATTTGCCTCATCCTGGTACTTCTTGTATACATCCATTCTCTGGTATTTTTCGCCTTCTTCGTAAGCTCATTTTGCACGAAAAGCTTTCCGGCCGTTTTGACCACACTTTTGCTCTACGCGGCCACAGGGATTCCTTTTGCGATTGTCGGAACGGAAAAATCGAGTCTTGCTTCCCAGGTGGCTGCCTCTTTTGGCTTAAACTCTGCCCTGTTCTACATTTTGGACTCCGTGGCCACAATGGAACTGCAGTCGGTGGGCATTCAGTGGTACACTATGGCCAAAACAGCGTCGTATGGCCATAAGCTGAGCATTGTGGCTTACATGATGATAATGTTTGCCATCAGTTGGATCGAACTGATCATCTGTTTGTATATCGAGGAGGTGCGACCCGGCGAGTTTGGAGTGCCCAAATCATGGTACTATCCATGCCAAAAGCAATATTGGTGTCCACGGCGATTTGTACGCTCCGTTTTCTACGACGAACCGCTTCTGCCCATCTCAAGGCCGTCGTCCAATGGGAGTTTCCCTTTTTCAAGTCCATCGAAATCATTCTGGGGAAATACCAGTTCACACAGACAAATTGAAAATCAGAAGGTACCGACAAGCCTTCAAACTGGCGTCGATATTAAAAATCTCTCGAAGAAATTCGGACATCGCGAGGTAGTAAAGAATTTATCCTTCAAAATGTACGAGAATGAGATCACCGCTCTGCTGGGGCACAAAGGTGCTGGGAAGACGACCACAATACTGATGCTCTGCGGTATGTTGCCACCCACTAATGGAACGGCATTTATCAATGGCTATGACATTACGTCGGATCCGAAATTAGCGAAATCTAGTTTGGGCATCTGTCCGCAACACAGTGTGTTATTCAGAGGACTGAGCGTTAAGGATCACATCTACTTCTTTAGTCGCGTGAAGGGTTACTCGAAAATAGAGGCCACGATAGAATCGAATTTGTACGTGAGCAAACTAGACTTGGTCAGCCACCGGAAGCGCGATGCCCTAAAGCTATCCGGCAGCAGTCAGCGGCGATTGTCCCTGGCATGCGCCCTCTGTGGCGGCTCCAAGGTCATTCTCTGCGACGAGCCCGCATCCGGTTTGGATCCGCGCGGACGCCACGATCTTTTTCGACTGTTACAGAAGGAAAAGCGCGGTCGCACCGTCCTGCTGACCACCCATCTCATGGAGGAGGGCGAGATCCTTGGCGATCGCATCGCCATCATGAGCGATGGACAGCTAAGGTGCTTTGGCACCCTGGCATTCCTGAAGCAGTCGCATAGCACCTGCTACACACTCTCCTGCGTGATGGGCTCCATTGTCAGGGTGGACATGCTGACCGAAATGATAAATCGCTATATGCACACAGTCACACCGGTAATCCGTGGTTTGGATGTCATGTACAAGCTGCCTCGGAGCAGGAGCGACAAATTCTCGGATATGTTTCGACAACTGGAGAACAATAAGAAGATCTTCGATGTCATCAGCTTTGGCTTGAGCGATTCGGTTCTGGATGAGATTTTCTTGAATCTGGAAGCGAACCAAGAGATACGCTCCAGAGGCGGTGCTGATCCAGGCGATAATGGTAAGATTATTGCATTAATTTTTTAATCGTTATCAAAAAACGTACACGATTTGGTAAATTTAAAGTTAAAGTGGGAATTTCGAAATTCGAACTGGCCTGTTCATTACATTTCGAGCATATCGAAACGAAATGCCCGCATATAAAATCGACCATTGTTTCATATCACGTTTTTTGTTGTGTTTTGCTTAAGCTAACTTCTTTGTTTATTATACCCTTGTAGAGGGTATTATAATTTCACTCAGATGTTTGCAACGCAGTGAAGGAGACGTTTCTGACCACATAAAGTATATATATTCTTGATCAGCACCAATAGCCGAGTCTATCTAGCCATGTCCGTCTGTCCGACTGTCTGTCTGTCCGTCTGTCTGTCTGTCCGTCTGTCCGTTTCTATGCGAACTAGTCTCTCAGTTTTAAAGCTATCGCGATGAAACTTTCCCGAAAGTCTTCTTTCTATTGCAGGTAGTACATATGTCGGAGAGAGCCGGATCGGACCACTATATCTTAAGGCTCCCATAGGAATATTCAAACAAATATAAGAAAATTCATTGTAACTTTGTAGGAAGTAGGCGTTTTGATCCTTGACTACTTAAAAACCAAATTTAAATAAATAGGAACGCTGAATCTGGAATCCCCGGAACTGCACCGAGTGAGCATTCTTTTATCTACAAGGGAATATAAGCTTCGTCTGGCCGTAGGTAGCTTCCTTTCTTGTTATATATTTATTTTTCAGCACCCAGTTTCAGCACCTAATCACTGCACAGTTTCATCACCTACTTACTGCCTACTTTCAGCACCTAATCACTGCCTACTTTCAGCACCTAATCACTGCCTACTTTCAGCACCTAATCACTGCCCAGTTTCAGCACCTAATCACTGCCCAGTTTCAGCACCCAATCACTGCCTTCTTTCAGCACCTAATCACTGCCTACTTTCAGCACCTAATCACTGCATACTTTCAGCACCTAATCACTGCCTACTTTCAGCACCTAATCACTGCCTACTTTCAGCACCTAATCACTGCCTTCTTTCAGCACCTTATCACTGCCTACTTTCAGCACCTAATCACTGCCCAGTTTCAGCACCTAACCACTGCCTACTTTCAGCACCAAATCACTGCCTACTTTCAGCACCTAATCACTGCCTACTTTCAGCACCTAATCACTGCATACTTTTAGCACCTAATCACTGCATACTTTCAGCACCTAATCACTGCCTACTTTCAGCACCTAATCACTGCCTACTTTCAGCACCTAATCACTGCATACTTTCAGCACCTAATCACTGCATACTTTCAGCACCTAATCACTGCATACTTTCAGCACCTAATCACTGCATACTTTCAGCACCTAATCACTGCCTACTTTCAGCACCTAATCACTGCCTACTTTCAGCACCTAATCACTGCCCAGTTTCAGCACCTAATCACTGCCTACTTTCAGCACCTAATCACTGCCCAATTTCAGCACCTAATCACTGCATACTTTCAGCACCTAATCACTGCATACTTTCAGCACCTAATCACTGCCTACTTTCAGCACCTAATCACTGCCCAGTTTCAGCACCTAATCACTGCCTTCTTTCAGCACCTAATCACTGCCTACTTTCAGCACCTAATCACTGCCTACTTTCAGCACCTAATCACTGCCCAGTTTCAGCACATAATCACTGCCTACTTTCAGCACCTAATCACTGCCTTCTTTCAGCACCTAATCACTGCCTACTTTCAGCACCTAATCACTGCATACTTTCAGCACCTAATCACTGCCTACTTTCAGCACCTAATCACTGCCCAGTTTTAGCACCTAATCACTGCCTTCTTTCAGCACCTAATCACTGCCTACTTTCAGCACCTAATCACTGCCCAGTTTCAGCACCTAATCACTGCCTACTTTCAGCACCTAATCACTGCATACTTTCAGCACCTAATCACTGCCCAGTTTGAGCACCTAATCACTGCCTACTTTCAGCACCTAATCAATGCATACTTTCAGCACCTAATCACTGCCTACTTTCAGCACATAATCACTACCTACTTTCAGCACCTAATCACTGCCTACTTTCAGCACCTAATCACTGCCTACTTTCAGCACCTAATCACTGCATACTTTCAGCACCTAATCACTGCCTACTTTCAGCACCTAATCACTGCATACTTTCAGCACCTAATCACTGCATACTTTCAGCACCTAATCACTGCCTACTTTCAGCACCTAATCACTGCATACTTTCAGCACCTAATCACTGCCCAGTTTGAGCACCTAATCACTGCCTACTTTCAGCACCTAATCACTGCATACTTTCAGCACCTAATCACTGCCTTCTTTCAGCACCTAATCACTGCCCAGTTTCAGCACCTAATCACTGCCTTCTTTCAGCACCTAATCACTGCATAATTTCAGCACCTAATCACTGCCTACTTTCAGCACCTAATCACTGCCTACTTTCAGCACCTAATCACTGCATACTTTCAGCACCTAATCACTGCATACTTTCAGCACCTAATCACTGCCTACTTTCAGCACCTAATCACTGCCTACTTTCAGCACCTAATCACTGCATACTTTCAGCACCTAATCACTGCCTACTTTCAGCACCTAATCACTGCCTTCTTTCAGCACCTAATCACTGCCCAGTTTCAGCACCTAATCACTGCCTTCTTTCAGCACCTAATCACTGCCTTCTTTCAGCACCTAATCACTGCCCAGTTTCAGCACCTAATCACTGCCTTCTTTCAGCACCTAATCACTGCCCAGTTTCAGCACCTAATCACTGCCCAGTTTCAGCACCTAATCACTGCCCAGTTTCAGCACCTAATCACTGCCTACTTTCAACACCTAATCACTGCATACTTTCAGCACCTAATCACTGCCTTCTTTCAGCACCTAATCACTGCCTACTTTCAGCACCTAATCACTGCCTTCTTTCAGCACCTAATCACTGCCTACTTTCAGCACCTAATCACTGCATACTTTCAGCACCTAATCACTGCCTACTTTCAGCACCAAATCACTGCCTACTTTCAGCACCTAATCACTGCCCAGTTTCAGCAGGATCGGACCACTATATCTTAAGGCTCCCATAGGAAAATTCATTGTAACTTTGTAGGAAGTAGGCGCTTTGATTTAAAATTTAAATAAATAGAAACGCTGAATCTGGAATCCCTGGAACTGCACCGAGTGAGCATTCTTTTATCTACAAGGGTATATAAGCTTCGGCTGGCCGAAGGTAGCTTCCTTTCTTGTTTTTAAATTGTCTTGATATATTGATAAGGAAATGTTGTGTTTTTTTACCTTCCAGACAAAGTAGATTTTGGAACCCAAACTAGTTTATCGACCCTAAGAGGAAGGGCACCTCAAGAGCCAGAGCAAATGCCAGAACCGATTATAAAAAGTCAAGATACAAAACCGAAAAAGAAGCAAAAACCAGAACCGGAAAAGAAGCCAGAGCCGGAAAAGCAGAAAGAGTCCAGAATGCCGAAACCAATCGAAAACTTAAGGGTAATGCCCAGAAGGAAAGCGACCTGTATGAGCCGATGGCGGGCAATGATGATAAAGAAGGCCCACTACACAGCCTTTCATGTTTACATATTTCTTATAATCCTGATCATACCACTCATACATTTTCTCTTAGTCATTGCAACCGGCGAAAAAGACAGACCCGTACCAATAATACCCACAGTGTTCCCATTGTCATTGGACTATTATAACTATGATGACATGATCATCTTGCTTGAAGTTAATAAAAATTTATATAAGAACGAAGAGGTACAGATACCCTATGAACACTCGGTCAAAGAAGCTGCAACGGTTCAAAAAGTATCATCGGTTTTTTCGTACGTATTCGAGGCACCTCCATTGAGACGCCGCGATATTAGGCGTAAATATATTTGTGGAGCCTCTTTCAATGAATCCTCGATTATCACCGCTTGGTTTAATAGTGATGCCTTCGAGCACTCCGCACCCATTGCCATGAATATGATATATAATACTTTGGGAAAGGCAGCGATGGGACACAGTTTCAGCATTTCTGTATCCAGAGGTCAAATCGAAGATTTCGTTGTGAGAGATAAGACAAAGCACAGGTCAAAACGGCAGAATGATCCTGATTATGAAGACTATTCAGACTTTGAAACACAAGAAAATGATGGTTTTATCGCTGGTAAAAGTACAACAGATAATCCTCATCCTGAGGACGATTTACGACCCCCTGCTTATAAACCGGACTTAATTCCTCAGATGCCAATTTCAGAGTCTTTATTAGTATTATTTAAGGAAAGGGATAAAATGTATCTATTCTTTCGTGCGATTATCATGATAACAGCATATCTCGCATTAGCCCTAAGCATTTTTACGGTGTTTGTAACGGAGGATCGTCAAAATCAAGTAAAATTGGTACGAGAAAGTCAAGGATTGAAGCGATCCGACTTTTGGTTAACCCATTTCGTTTGGGATCTACTAATTTATACTATATTTATGATGGCCCTCAGTCTTGCCCTATACAAAGTAGCAATGTGGTACAATGTTCTAATAATTCTTCTACTTATTGGTTTTGCCTGCCTGCCATTCGTCTACCTATGTAGTTTGCTTTTCAAAAAGCCATGTACTGCGTTTAGTATGAACTTCACGATTTTAGTGATTACGGGTAAGTAAATACGAATAAATAAATACTCTTACTAATATTATTTCTACTCTTTGACTAGGTGGATTATTATTCTGCGTTCTCTTATTGACGAGATCCGATAGCTTAAGGGCTACATTTTTAATTTTCCCTATGTACGTGGGTGCTTTTGGCCTATTTAAATGTCTTTCAAGGCGTGAATATTGCGAACGTGAAATACTTCCACCGATCGATGATCTTGAATGCAGTTTTGGAAGCTGTAATGTATTTTGCGCGTGCAAACGTAAGGCCCTAAAATTCGAAGTCTCCATTTAAATATAAGGCTTTTTCCCCTTAGCGGAAAATAATTGGATTGAGGTTTGGTTACTGATGGTTCATGGCCTTGTCTGGTTTTTCCTCATTTGGATTTCCTCCCTGGGACATGTTATCATTAGTAAATTTACATCTACCCAGTCAAACAGAGATTGGAACTATTTCGACAAAGACAACAGGGTGCTGGACGAGGAAAAGAGAGTGGCTCAAATCCCCAACTACGAACTTGAGGAATATGCCATAATTGTTGACCAGGTCAAAAAGAATTATTGTCGCACCAAAGCAGTTAAATGTGTGTCGTTCGCGATTAAACCGTAGGTATTGCAATAATTTAAGTATTTAATTTCTTAAGCAACTTTAACAGTGGCGAGGTTTTCGGCCTATTGGGTTCCCACGAATCGGGAAAGTCTTCGATTTATCGGATGATCGTGGGTGAGACCCGTATATCAGCTGGCAACATCTATGTGAAAGGCAATAGCTTGCGCGAACGCCGTAATGCTGCCAAAAAGGAAATTGGGTACTGTCCGCAGTCCGATACTCTCCACGGCTTCCTGACCGGTCGGCAAACCCTGAAGATCTATTGCCTACTCATGGGAGTGCCGAAGAATGAAATAAAAATGGTAACCGAACAGTTGGCCATCGATTATGGTTTCAGTAACCAACTGGACGAGAAAATTAGTACTTATAGTGGCGGAACTAAAAGAAAACTTAATGTGGCTATAGCTGTCAATAGCGGAAATGTCATTTGTCTGGATGAGGCCAATAGTGGAATCGATCCGATGACCCGCCACTTTTTGTGTCACAAGATTGAGAGCGTAAGCAAGAGTGGCAGGGCGGTACTTTTGACTACCAACAGCATGGAGGCGGTGAATGCCACGTGTTCGAGGGTTGGCTTCTTGGTCGCCGGCGAGATGAGCTGCATCGGGACAATGCAGCAAGTGCGATCTGAAGTTTCCAATATCAATGTTATAAAAATTAAGGTCAATACTAAGCAGGAAGAGTGAGTAAATTAGTTATTATATTATTTAATATAATAGGGTTTGTAAAATAATCGATAGCACCATCGATACTATCGATTGCTTTAAAATTTAAGAAATCATGCCTTTTCTTCCCTCAATTTAGTCCATTTTTATTAGTATCGATACTATCGATGGTTGCCAATATCGATAGATAAAACTATCGACGATTTTAAACTCCAATGATATTTACTTACAGACAAAAAAAAGTAATGCGTAAATTCAAAGCTGAAATGGCGAAAGTTTTTCCAATGGCAAAACTACAGTAAGCTATAATTCTTAATATTCTTCAGGGCAATTATAATTCAACGAAAAAATTTGTTTATTTTAAGGGAAAAACTTGAAAATTATCTTAGATATCACATACAAAAGAATGCTATACCTTTGTCCAACCTGTTTTACCAAATGGAACTGAAACGGACCGAAGGAAAGATTGAAGACTACTCCATAACTCAGGCTTCTCTGAAAGAAATTTATATGGAACTAAATGACGAAGATTTTTCGGTGCTCGTAGACTTAGACTCAGACTCAGAATCATCTGAAGTTAGTCACGAGGATGAAGCTACATCTACGATTAATAAAAAGCAAAGTTCAAGGAGTATTTTAGATAAGGATAAATTTAAAGTAAAGGATCAGAAGAAAAAATCAAAAGGGAATAAAAAGAAAGGAAAGGATATTCAGAAAAGACCAGCAACTTCCTCTTCAAGTACTGATAGCGATGAACCAGTTTCAGATAATAGTAAAAAGCCCAGGAAATGGTTCTAAACTTACGATGTGAAACATACCACTAAGGAATTTTGTAAGTCTTTATACTTTTTTAAAAGAACAAGAAATATTTATATTATATCACACCTCGACTTTCATAGCCCTGAGACAAAAAGTCTGGGAGCGGAGCAGTCGGCCGTATTTGTATTCATTAAGGAATTTCCGCAAGTTTTTCCCCATTTCTTTTGCCTTCATCCTTTGGTCCTGCACTTTGACTTTTTGGTGTGCCTGGCTGCGTTCCGAGGGCAATGGTTGATTAAAATGTCAAATGCCTTGCATATTTTAAATGCCTTCGCGTCAACCCCAGAGGAAAATTCAACTGAAAATTGAAGCTCAAGCTGAAAACCACCAAGGACCGTACAACGGGGCAATTAAGGATGAGAAGGCCTCATCTAAAAAACCAAGGACGAGTCCCACAATAACAGTTGCGCCCGTTTATGTGTCAGATGTTTAAAAATTACACATCTGGATATAATTTGTAAATATTGTAAATTTGTAAAAATTCGTAGAGATATTTAATAATTTTAAAATTCGCCATGACAGTTTTCAAAGCAATGATGTTTTAACTTGGGGGAACCCCTATCCAAAGAATAAGCTGTGGGGAAAATCTTTTTTATGAGATTTTACTATTGTACCCTCTATTTTTTCCATTAACTGTACTTTACATTTTCCATGAGTTAAAGTAGAAAAGCCTTAGGTTATTACCTGAAACGAGAATAGAGAGCATAGAAAATATATCAGATTAGTTCCATTGAAGCAGTGCATAGTAAAATAGTTTAAACAACAAACTTAAATTAAAGTCCAACTTTTTGGCGAGAACTTTGAAAAATGGCAACCGAAAGTCGAAAGTTTCCCGCTTATCAAGTGTTGGGCAAGTTAGCGTTTGCCGGAGCGAAAAACAAATTGTTGCTGGCCTGCAAGCAATGGTGCTTAAGATAAAGCCGGGCAGCCAGCGACAACGATGGCAAATACTAATTTTACAAGGAAACGCGGAAACGGAAAATGCCCAACTACGCAAGGCAAAGTAGCACGAGTTCGTTCGCAAAACTTTCTCCAAAACAAAATGAGAATGGGGAAAATCAAAAACAGAAAACAAAAAAAAACTGAAAATGGTCGAGAAAAAGCAACAAAAGCGAAAGCAAAAATTAGTCGAGCGCAAAATCAAGGCGCTGACTCTTCGGTGCGGCGTAATGTTGATATATTAACTTGTTACCATCTCGCTTTTGGACGGTAAGCAAGGAGGAGTTTTGAAGTAAAGAATTAATTGCAGTCAACTTAAAGAAGCCAAGAAGTTGTTTAAAACCGTATTCCTAAAGCTTTAAGAAATTTTTATAGAAAGCTTTACTTTTTTAGTTCTTAACCTAATTATGAGTTACTTGTTTAAATGGTATTTTATAGAACTTTAGTATTAATTATAATTTATTACAAAAAACAAAATGTAAGAATAATGAAAATGAATGCTTTAAAAGTTACAAAGGATTCTTTTATTTTATTTATTTCAATACAAATAAATTATCGTTTCCAACACCTCTTTTAGACCCTATAAATCCCGTAATCTCGCACTACATTATAAAGGTGTCATAAGTCATAAGAATGATTGGTTTACAGGGGTATTCCAAGCAGCGTACAGCAGATTTTGAAATCTTTTCTTTTTTTCTGCTACCTCCAAGAACTTGAAGTAACTTTTTTGTTTTTGACGGGATAAAATAATAAATCACAGAAAATATATGCGCTCGACGCTTTTTCGTTCGTTTTACTTTGTTTTTGCCCTAATGTTCTTTGGGTATGTGTGTGCCGGAAACACGTCAGCATGTTATGGCACCGGAAGCTGATATGCTTGGGAGCAGGAGGAGTTGCCCAGCCAGGTTGCATGTAATGAGGCACTGATTGGTGCCTGAGAAATTGCTGCTTGCAGTTCGCTGTGCTGATTATTTTGCGCCATTTTCGTACGCTTGGGCTCTCCCACTTGGAAGCTAAATCAAACAAGTTGACACTTGCCACGCCCTGCTTTTTAGCACGGGCGCATGCATAACTTTTGCCACTTTATGTGGATGTGGCACTGGCGTCAAGAACTTAACCTGCATCCTGTTGCAGTTGGCAGGCAAAATGTCGCAGACCGACCAGACGACGCACTCCCCCTCCTGCCTTTTTGGCCCATTATGCATTGTGACACTAGTTTTTTCCCCCACTCTTTTTTTTTTGTTTCCATGTTGCTTGGGAATTTTCGCAGCTCTGTTTCTCAAGTGGCAAGCGGAGCTGTCTTTCCTTTCTCACGACTGCTGCCTCCTGCACTTTGCATAACTTTGTTGCATACTTTCGAGCGTGTTTCGTCCCCGGATCATGTTGCACAGTCTCCCGATGGAGCAGTTTCCCTATTCGGTCCTGTTCTGCTGCCACATTATGTATTATAAATGCATAAACATTATGCCTGACGTTTACTTAATGCTCGCATAACTCGGGAGCTGGAAAAACTTTTCAATAATTACTGGGAGAAACATCACAGAGCAAAAACCACCTAAACAGTTGTGGCTTAAGTAGGCGGAAAAGTTTGAAATGTCGGTTTTTTTTTTTAATTATGAATGCAGTTTATAATAAAATCGTTTAATAAGGGTTAAGCTTAATATTTTTTGTTTCAATATAAAAAGTATTTTTTAATTTAGAAAAAAGAAAGCAAGGTAAATTAAATTAGTTAAAATATATAATTTAATATTTCTTTATTAACCAAAATATACCATGAAATTAAAAGGCAAATAATTTCCAAGAGATTAACAAATAACTCACAAAATACGCATTAAAAGGCCCTCCCATAAATACAAATATAAATACAAAAGATAATAAAAAGTCTAAGTCCTTTTGCATGGCGCGAGGGCGAAAGGATTCCATTGTTGGTATTTATTCCATTAAAGCAGCTTTGCAAAAACACTCAAAAGTATTATAATTTTCAATTCCTGGCAGTTCCATACATAGCTCCTCCACCACCAACGTCCTCTTATATGATGAGCAACAACGAGAAGTCAACAACGCAGGGTCTTATCCTCCACCATCCTTTAGCGCCTATGTATATATAAGCAAATATCTCGCCCCGGCTTTTAAGCCCGTCAAAGCTGCTGCAATTACCTTGTTAATACGCATAAAAATGCGGTAACAAGCGAGACAGAAGCGACTGGATACCACTTTGAGCCCAGCTAGCTGGGGAATCCCCTATGAGGCAGCAGCTTTGCCGTCAGCGACAAAACACAATCAGATTAAAAAACAATGCAAAAAGAGCCAAGTTTTCTTTTTCATTTGCCGTAACGCACAGCAGTTTTAATCCGCTTTTAATTGCCTGAAATCCAATTGGCGACCTACATAGCAACCTGGTTCAAAGTTGCTCTTAGCCAGCTTTCAGCTTTCCTCAGTTCTCTTTCCAATCCCAATCCCAAGCCCGTACACCCACAATCCGTAACCCGTAAAATGGACAAGCAATTAGTAGAGTAAAAAAAGCGGAGAAACTAGTTTGTTAAACTCGGGATGGGACGGGGTCAAATAAAAACTTTTATTTCAGCAGTTCATGGAGGTGGCAAATTCCAAAAGTAGGCAACAAAAAGTGTTTCACTTAACCGCCAATGATGAAATTGCCCTGGCCACAAAATGTTTTATTAAATTTGCTAATTTACTTAATTAATTCAACGATTGGCAGTTAGCCAAGTTGCATTTTAAATTGGATTGTGTGGGATTGTTTCTCTGCACAAGAATCCTTTCGAGTAAACACTTTTAATTGTATTGGACAGCAGATTTCTGACAATATAAAAGAAATGTGACAGAAATGGACAGCGAAAACCGCAATATTATTATGGCCAAAGTGTACAAATTTCCGTCACAAGAAAACACAATTTCAACCTCAAGTTTCGGTTTTTTTTTCTTTTCGTTGTCAGTTGGCTTTTGTTGACTCTTCTGCCTGCCTGCACTTGACGTTATTCACAGCTGGCTAGCGCCTGTAATTGTCCTGACTTCAGCCGACTGGATTCAACCTGGTTTTGCTGTCATATTTTGTTCCACAGCCAGCTGCCAAAACCACTATATTCTAATTGTTATTGCGTTTTGACAGGTACCCCAGGAAGTTCTTCCCTTTTTCACTCTGTCACGCAAAAGAGGCAATAAATAAGTCAGATGTTTCACATCAACTTCTTAAAATTTAATTCAATTTCCATCGAATTTGTGAAATCTGTTAATATATTAGAACAGGGATGCTCAAAATTGGCTTATGACAGTCAATACGACACAAAGAAGAATCAACGTGTGCCCAATGCAAAATAGGCGTGTAACCGCAGGCATGCTTTATAACTTTACAGAAACAAATTTGACCCGCGTGCTAATGGGGTGAACTTTTAAGTTACTCTCTTCTCATATTCCTAAGATCTAAGAACCTTCACCTAATTCACCTTCACTACGTAGACACTATTTAAAGTCATTTATAATTTGCGATCCTGGGCAATGCCAACTAACCCGTACAAATTTATTTTGGTCTAGTCTATGGTCGTCGTCCGGCAAGCGAATGAAGATAATAAATTCTCGCACTAAAACCTGAGCGACATTCAACAAAATAATTACCAGCATATTTCGAATGTCTCACGGGGTGCACCGAGCCACAATTTATCATTTCGCTCCAGCTGTGGGCGAAACTAGTGGGTGGTAGATGTGGAGAACAGGAGCTCATTTCATAACTCAAAAGCCTCGAGAGTCATTTATAAGGCTGGAAGGCAAAAAGTTGTTTTTTTTTCTTGGCTTGCCGCCTGCCGGAGGAATGGGAAACTTTGACTTGAACTTGTTATTTAACACTTTTCAGGAGAGGCGAACTGACAACTGGGCGTGGTCATAGCTGTTAAAATACATATATATGCGATATATATAATAGAATAGAAGTGCACATACAAGAGGAGGAGATGGAGGAGGTGGAAAAGGATAGATGGTCCAACATGCACGGACACTTGAGACAGTCCGGACTCCGGAGTACTCGACGGGATATTCCGTTTGAAGTGCGAATAGTT